TTCATAAGATTAAACAATGAAATCGACAGATGAAAGTGGTTTGCACGGTTTACACAAATGAGGACGGTTTTCATAAATGAGGACGGTTTTCATATGATCACTCATCTATATATATATATATATATATACACACACACATATAACCCTTTTAAAACTTACAAACCTTACAACCAAAATCTTAATCATTGATTTCATGATCGACGGTTACAATAGATGCATACCTAATATTTTGAATTAAAAAAAATAGAAACAAAATAACCCTTTATCATAAATCCAACGGTTAAGATGGGGGTTGCAAAAGTTGTTAGATTTACATGGGTTGCACATGCACACACACACATACACATATAGTCAGATTCAGGGGAAAACCACAAAAAATGAAAAACTGATGAACATCATGATAACCATTTATCTGGACAATATGCATATATGCATACAATTAATTTCTAAGAAATTTGTCTAACATGCACATGTGCATAGAACCCATGAATCAACTTCAATAACTTGTATGCACATGTTCATACCGTTCAGATGAATAGTTATCATAATGTTACACAATTATTATTTGTTATGTGAATTTTCCCATAAACCTTCCAACGTATATAGAGGGGGATTTTATGTGAGTTTTGGGATAATTATTTTGATCCCAACCCAAAGTCATATGTGGTTATGGTTTATTTTGTGTTTTAGAATGTTGAAACACTAATAATATTTTGTTTATGTGCCTCTGATTCCCCCACAATATAAAGGAGTGAAAAGGTATAATTTGCTTTCAATAATTATGTTGATAATATGCATCTTAAGAATATGATATTATTTTTATAAACTTATTGGATTAATAAGATTCATTATTTAGTAAATGTTACTTTAAATGTTTGATTTAATGATTAAGATACATAAATAATTTTTATGATATTTAATGAGATGTTACAAATTATTAATTGCATGTTTTTAGGGACCATAATAATATCAATATATTTCAAGATTCTAGAATAATTGTGTTGATTTTAGCATAAACAATGGTTAATCAAAGTGAGCATATTGCGGGTTCATATGTGAAATGCTCCCAAAACAAACTCAACTTGTTCACCATATTAAATTTGAATTGCATTAATAAGTGAGTTCATAGGTGTTTATAAGAATGTGTTCATTATCATAAGGTTTTCATAAGAACGTGTTCATAATCATAAGGTCTTCATAAGAATGTGCTCATAGGTGTTTATAAGAATGTATTCATAACCATAAGGTGCTCATAAGAATGTATTCATAACCATAAGGCGCTCATAAGATGTGTTCATAACCATATGGTGTTCGTAGGTGTTGAATAAAATTGTTCGTAGGTGTTTATGTCATGGTCTTTTCCATAAATACCCCTGTTCAAGAATATTCACCAATGTTTATTTCTATTCAGATTTTTATTTATTACAAATATGTCATGATTGATTTAATTCATAGATTTCAAGGATTAAAGACTAAGAATTGTTCATATAATTAACATTAATTATTGGGTTAATAAAAGAACCGCCTCTTTTATATATATATATATATATATATATATATATATATATATATATATATAGGGTCAAGATCAAATGTTAACCAAAGTTTTTGTTTTAACTTTGCAAATCATGTTAACCAATCACAATTCATTCTTCTATTAGGTTTCTATTATGTTCACAATTTAATGTCGAGGGTAATTAAGTAATTTTATTTGCTATGTAACTCCTATACCATGAATGGGGAGTTACAAAATCATAAAATCCCTGAAAATATGAATTTATAATATCGATAGTTTTTTTTTTAATCTTCATCATTTATTTTTATTGTTTTATGAGTTTTTGATTCGTGGAGAAAACACGGTAGTAAAATCTTCGGTATTGTTCAAGCTATTATGGATAAACGCATTGAAAAAGAAACTAAGAACATTAAGAAGATTAAAATGGTTTATGGTGACAATCAGAGTTCGTGTTCGGGAAGTGAAGAAATTAACCAAAGCGAATGTCTTGGTAATGGATTAATATTTTATTAGACTCGTTTTAATCGAAATTATGTTCATTATGATGTGTTGTGTTTTTTGTAGTTCATATTGCGTTGATAACATTTTTCTTTAATTATTAATACGTCTCTAATTCACATGTTCAAATGGAAGTACATGCACGATCCATTTTAATATTGTCATATTACCGACTTTTATAAATCATGAACCATTGTGTTCATGTTACTTCTATCATATGAACACAAGTGTTATTTTTTAAGTTTGATACCAAATTTTATATTTGTGTTAGTGTTTGCACCCGGTGTTCATATCGTCGAGGTTATCTGTTCATATATTTTATATGATATGAACAAGGGATGAACACGATATGAACAAGGGGTGAATAACCACATAAGACCAGAAACATATATGAACAAGAGGTTAACCTTAAACGGTGTGGATGCAATGCATGTATAAAACTCCAATTGACAAAAGAGCGCTCATGAATGTGTTCATAATGAAGGAACTATTGTTTGCAAGCTGTTATATTGTGTTCATACCTGCTTTTTTTATTTATTTTATTTCGTATAACAGTTATTCTTATTATGTTCATATTGTGTTCATAAATGTATGCAGTCCAAGTTCATATATATGTCAATTTTTTGTTCGTATTTGACACAATGGTTCATATATATATATATAGTTGTGTTAATATGGTTTTTACATTAACAAAAATAAATTTTAAAAAAATCATAAGATTTTTTGATTTTGTAACTCCCAATTAATGATATGAGAGTTACATAAAAAATTACCTAAATACCCTTTTCAACTTTGTTCACTTATCTTTATGAAATTTTATATTTTAAAAAAATAACTTTTTATCATGATTAATCACAACCGTTTATTGAAAGATTGAATGGCCAAGATCAGTTAACAAAGTTAACACAAAAACTTTGGTTAACATTTGAACCTGACCCTATATATAT